TATGTGACCATAGTACTTTCTTTGGAATTGTGCTTGAGGAATGTAATAAGGATAACTGTAACTTGGAGGTTGGGGTGAAATCAAAGAACTCAATGTTGTTAGTACTAGTACTAGTGCTAGTTAGTACCTGTATTTCTAATCACTTAAATATTAATTTTACAGATACTACATTTTAATGAATTTCTCAGGGATCTCAACATTTAACATACTGTGCTCTGTGAAGGCTTAGTGTAGAAAATTCATGTATATGTGCTTATATATATATATGTATATATATATATATATACACACACATGTATAGGGGGTTATTGTAAAGAGTATATATTTTATACAGAAATTTAAATATTTAAGGCAGAATTAAATTTGATAGTTCACATAGACCATTTTTTTATATTAGCACAATGGTTTTCATTATAACACAACATATCAATTAACACCTACATAAAAGCTAACAGCACTTTTGTTAATTTCTCATGAAATTTCTTTAATATTTTGATGTATTTTGAGAATATGAATATTAGAACACATGTACACATACAAACCAGTTTTCTAATTATTTAAGGGCTTCCTATCCCCCCCAGGAATCTATGTATAGATGGTCCCAGATTAGGAAAATCCATGTAAAAAGTCACACACATTGTTCTCATTGTCATAATTTAAAAATACAGTGTCAGTTTATTGCCCACTCATGCCAGATATTTCAGAAACTTGATAAAGTTGTTGTTAAGCAAATGATATTGTTACTGGCAAGGTATAATTATATACAGATGCACTGTCTACAGAGGTTGAAAGAGGAGAGAATGGGAGGGAGAACATTAATACAAAAATAACCAGTGATTTATATAAAACATCCACCAAGCTTTTCATAGTATTAGAGAAATAGGTAAATGAAAAAGTATTTAGAACTGTCATTAGTGTTGATCATATCTATCTTAAATGCCATTTAAGAATAATAGAGTTAGATGATATAATGTATCAAACATATTTAATAGCTTTTTGGTTCTTTGAGAATAAATCCATACATTCAGATTTCAGCAGAAGGGTTAGTCTTAAGAATTACCCATGAGTTTTACAAGAAGACTTTTATCTAAGAGAAAGTTTGATGGTAAAAACAAAAATGTAGGTTTAATTTACATTTTTTACATGTGTTTATAATGAGGTGATTTAGTGTGATTATAGTTCACACTTTCTACTTTACATTTGTTATTCCCATTTTAGCTGACCTTTGGAAATAAGTGCTATTTATTGAGTACAAGGTACAAACTTAATAATCAGGGGGAAAGGAATAATTTTGTTATTGATTTCAATAAGTTTATTTGGGAAAGTGAGTTTGCCCTGTCTAAAGTTGAAAGTGAATTCAGATGTAAATAGAAATAGCAGAGTAGTGTTCTTAAAATTCAATCAGTGCACTAACAATGTTGACAACATTTAGTAATCGATAAAAGTGAACAATGCATTTCAGTGACAGTGAAAATAAGAGTTAATTAATGAACTGTTTATATCTGTCTTGACAAAGTTGGGATGAAAATGACACAGAGGGTAATGAAAATTGAAGGACATTTTTGGAAAGCAGTTTGTCAATTTTTGACAATTATTCACATTTTTAGGCCCACTTTTTAAATATTCTAGAGTACTTTAAGACATAAAATATAATCATGAAAATGTTTATACTGTTAAGTTAGAAATAGTCAATATAGAATAGAGTGATGCTAAGTCAATTATGGAACATCAAAAACTTGATGTAATGACAAAGTTCATAATGACATGGAAAATGCTTTTGATAGAAGATGGAAAAGCAGGAGGATAGGTGTATTTGTGCCACAAGTATAGCTGTCCAATAACTTGCTGTGCATTGATCAAAGACTGGGAGGAAATAGGAAAAATTAAAATTGATATATTAGGGTCATGTCAATATAAATGAAAGTTTGTTATCTTTAATTGCTGTCACTTTATTCAATATAAAATTATTTTTTTTTGCACTTATCAGTTCTGTGTTAAATATCAAATAAATTAGCAATGCACTTATTTGGTAGAAGGCATTACTTTGTTCCTAATGGAAAGTTATTCCAAGACAACTTATTTCAGTCTGTCCTTCTCACTGATTTAAAATGATTCCTTTATTAATTTCAATGTGTTTGTTTTTGGAGTTTGTGCTTTGTGGCCTATCACTGTGCTGTCACAACACTATTTATACATTCCCATTTTCTTACTCTGTTTTCTTATGTGGTTGGCAAGTGCTGACCTTTCCTTCTATAGCTCACGTGTCTTTCTTTTTTCCAAAATTTTCATTTGTATTTGTGTATTTATTATTCCAGATCAACTTTAGAAAAAGCTTGAGATTCATTTGAAAAAAATTCAGTTTGGTTTTGAGTAGAGTCAACTTTATAGAGTCTGTTGTGGGCAGATAATTTTGCCCATGATGCCTCTGATTGTTTCCAGAAGTTTTAGTGAAATATTTGAGATATAATAGATTGACAGAAAGGTGATAGGTCTGCCTAGAAGTGCAGTGATTCTGTTATCTATGCCAACAAATTCACATGGGAAAGTTTATAGTTGTCAATTGCCTTAAAACAAAGTATGCAATTGAATCCAAATGGGAAAATGATAAACACATATTGGAATTTTATAAATTATTTGGAATTTATTTTGCCATTAATAAAATGAAGAGGAGTAGGAGATTTTCAGTGGTCACAGTAGTTAGTCTAGACTCTTAGCCAAAAATGGTCTCTTGTGGCTGTTTATTCATGCTATGCTTGTTCTCCAGCCTATTTTCAGAAGCCCATTCTTTCTGCTGTTCTCTATTTAGCTTTAGCTAACTTTTTTGAGTGAAAATACTCTTTTTCTTTCATATTCATACGTTCTTTCTTCTTCTCCAACCTCCTAGACCTTGTCCACTTGTATGTCACTGAGCTCTGTGTTGGTTCCTTCATCTTCCTGCCCACCTCCACCTTTCTCCTGCAATATCTCTCAGTGTCTTTCTCATCAGTTTTTGGTAAGCAAGTATAAGGGGCTGCTTTTATTGAATATTATGCTTAGTGCTATGACTTCTGGGCATCTCTCTTGAATGGACACCTTTTATTTTTGACCTGCCTCTTGTTTATTTTCTTTGAACACTGGAAAGCTTGTAAAGGTCTTGAAAGGGAGACATAATTGAATTATAAAGCTGTACTGTTTGGGGTTCTATTTCATTGGGGAGGGTTGCCATTAAACTCCTTTATAGATTGTAGCCCTGTTCACTTAACCAAATAAAATAGTAATATGATCGTTGTTTTGAGTAGATACAGATTAGATATCCTTGGGATCTGTAAAAAAAACTTTGATCTCTTTATACAATTTGTTTTCTATTAAAAAACAAAATCTCTAGCAGGTCAGATCGGATTCTGTCCCTGGATAAGGAGCAGTCCCTTTAACAACCAGGAACATGACTAAAACAAGCTGTTCTTCCTTTTTTAGGAAATGGAATTTCATCTAAGTTTCCTCTCTCAGTCATGTCAGACATTTGTTATTGTTTTTTGGCTTTTCAGATCCTCTTCCTGAACGTTTAAAAAACGCTATTGTATGGCAGATTTTTCTTGGCATGTTACTTTCTGTTGGTTCTGTGTGTGCATATGTGCGTGCTGACATGCAGAGAGAGGACAATTCTAAATTGGCCATTGGGATTTTTTTTTTGAAACTCATGAGCTGGTATAAACTTGTGTTTATAAACTTGTGTTTATACCAGCTCATGACTTAAGATAGCTTCGTGTGTGTATGATGGATTGCAACACCCCTAGGAAAATAAAGTCTTTTTTAACCAGATGAAATAACCATCTGGTTACTGGAAAGAGGAGTTCTGCACTGATTTTGTTATTGTTACTGATGGCCTACCTCTAGATAACTTATGAAACTCTGTGCTAGTATCAAGGGCAAGCAAGTGTTAATGGGACTATGTAGTTGTTTCCCTGTTCACTTTTCTTCCCTGTCCCAGGGTAGGGAAATGTCAGTGAGCAGGTTTGTTTTGTTGGGCATGCACAGGAGAGTCCAGCTGCTTTTCTGTGTTGTAGGGAGCTCTGAAGGTGTCCCCAGAGGGTGACCCTGTCCACCTTCTGGTTTTCAGTTCCCTGCCACTCCCAGAGGCTGGGCAGAATGCTGCCCCTCCCTGTGTGCCCTCTTTCTGTTGCCTTTTTGTGTTCCAGGCTAGGGTGTGTACCCAGTTTTAGAGTCCTTGGGGTTCCAAGATGATCTGGCAGGCTCTTCTGTGGCTGCTGTTCAGGGCTGCTGTTTGCACTGCTGACATAGCCCCTTACTCAGCCCCTGGGTGGGGATTTCTTTGAGACACCAGCCTGCTGCCTGCTGCCTCAAGTTCTTTCTGTCTCAGAGCATGCCTCATGGCCCAAGGTGGCCTCTTTTCCTCGGGATCAGGGCACTTTGTGGGGCTTTTTGCCCACCAGAAGTTTTCAAGAGAAAGTGTGAAGTCAAGCCAGATGAGAAAGAGGATTTGCAAATCCCTTAGAGAAGACAGATAGCAGTTGGAAATGGCATAGCAAGTGTGGGAGCACATGGTACTATGCATTTGGCAGTATTTGTGAATATTTAAGATTCTTACAATGAACTGCACTCTACTATGGGGTATGTGCAGAGAGAAAAATGATTTTGAACCTTTGGACTATGGTGGGATCTCCGATGCGGGAAAAAATAATGTAAGAATTAAGAATTGAAGTAAAAAACAACTAAGTATCAAATATATACCTCTACTCAATTAAAAATAAAAACAGCTCTTCCATCTGATCGATTCTTCAACTGTAAAACAGGACGCACCAGCTTTGACAAGACACTTAATATATCAGTGTATCTCCCTGTTGTCAGAAATATCACTGGAAAGGCACCTTCATTATTTGAACTCAGCCACATGCAATGATCCTAACAAGCAATGTGGTTTTGGGGCTCCCCCTCCCCTTTCACTGTGCTTTCTTACAACATGGACAAGGCAATGTGACGATGCTGACCTACTCATCTTTCAGGGGCAGATGACGGTATATGCGAAGTTTGGCAGCAATGTATACCTTCCTAAAGATGCTGAGTTTTACTTTATTTATAATGGAGCTCATCAGAGACACATCGTGATGGCAGAACGTGCAGAGGACAATGTGCTCCAGTCCAGCATTCCAGGTGAGGCGTGCTCTGTAGTGTGCAATGGGGCAACTGTCTGTGAGCATCTTCTCCCAGGGACACAGTCTGGGAATGTTACAGGGCACCCCAGTGTGAACTGGGCTGCCTGTCTGTGGGGCCTCACCCATGCGCTTAAAATTTAATTGTACTGCAGGCACACACAAAGGGGTCGATAATGGGTTTATTTACAAAAGGGGAAGGTAAAAGGAACAACCCAGGGAAAGAGAGCGAGAGATACAAGGTAACTAGAATATCTTACCAGCTCTGCTGACTTGGAGCTCTAGTAACAAATTGATAGCCCCAATCACATGGTCAGGGAGAGCAGTTGCCCAAGCCCCAGCCTTTGAAAATCACTCCCTATTTATCCCCCAAAGTCCCAGAATCCCTGCTTAGCTCCACCCTTGGGTCCTCGCAGTTCTCTCCCTGGTACTGCTGGGAGTTGTAGTTTCCAATCGCTGGAGTAGGGGTGGAGTCCACAAAACTGCAGAATTAGGACATCCTTCCCCTTAACAGGGAGAGGGCCAGGAGAAAGGGCAAGTACTGCAGTGACAGGGAGGAAGGTCACGGTAGGGAAAGCACTTGTGCTGGGCTGTCTCCTGGCTGGGCTTTTTGGTAGGTCTGCTAGGCAGCCTTGTCTGCAACCCCACTCTCAGCGCTTGGCTGCTGTGTGTACCATCCAGGGGAGACACTGGCTCTCGTGGTTACTGTGTTGGGGTGACTCAGGTAGAAGTGAGGCATGGAGTGTTCATGTTCACTCTCCCTCATTCTCCTGGAGTCAGCC